TTTTCTTTTCTTTTTAAAGAGATTTTTGTGATACGGCACATGAACTCACTGGACAGAGAAACAGAAAGCAAGAAAACACCCCCCAGGGGGGATGGCCACACTGCAATTCCTTTTCCTCTATTCTCCTCTCTGGATTTTGGGCATGCATGCACATGTACCCAGCTTGATTTTTAAAACTGCCAGGTCTGGGATTCGAACCATGGTCAACTACATGGGCGTCCAGTAACAAAAACCATTATGCTATCTTCTGGTCCCTGCCCAGCATGTTTTTCAATCCACTGGGTCTGGGACTGGATGCTGCCTCAGCCTGTCCTGCCCCCTTCCCAGGATGGGCATATCACAAAGAGCTGTCATCTGCAAAGGCTTTTTGTTTGCTTGGTTTTTTGTTTGTTTATTTTTTGTTGTTGTTGTTGTTTTCTCCCCTTTAGGGCACAAGGACTCAACAGAGAGAGGGAAAATGAGATAAGTACTCTCTGGTGGGAATGACCATCCAACAATCCCTTCTCCTCTGTTCTCTCCAGATTTTGAACGCACACACACACACACACAAAGCCCAGCATGTTTTTCAAGATGCTAGGTCCAGGACTCTAACACACAGTTGGCCACATGGGATCCAGCTGCCTTAACATGCCATGCCACAGCTGGCCCTATGAAAGCTCTTTTAAACTTCTCTGCACTTTTAAGATGCCATTATTAGTACTACGTGATATGACAAAGAAATTCAGCTCAAGGAAGTTTACTTTCCCAGCTAGTTAGTGCAGAACTGAACTTTGACCCAAGTCTCTGAGGACCAAGCCCAGGACTCTCACAACAGGATTAGCAGGACACAACCATGCATGCTCGACAGCCCTGAGTTTCCCAGGAAAACTGGGCATACTGTAGATTAGCGAAGCTGACTAAGTGGAAAACTGAATTGAAATTAACCTTCAATGCCTGGTTTTGGAGAAAAATCACTCGTAGAAATTTCACATGTAGAACTTTACACCACGGCTCTGTCAAGAGAACCCTGGTGACAGGCACACTTCTTCCACTTTGTTACAATTACTTCCTCTTTCTGTGGGGCTTCAGCTACAAGGAAAGCCACTATCAGATTTTGAAGGAGGAACAAATTGATTGCTCTAGTCTGAGATTTAGCAAGGGAGAAATGCTGAGTCAATGTGACTAAACATCTGGACTTACTCAAGTTACTACAGGCATCGTTTTATGCAAACATATTTAGATATATAATCGAAGAGCCATCCTCCCCTCCCCCCATTTAAACTGTTATGGCTGCACAGACTTCTCCATTTCTATGTTTAGGTACTGATAAAAAACAAAATATAAGGCTTCCTGGACTGTTGGAAAACTACAGCGAACAGGCCCAGGAGAGCAGGGCTGGCAAGCTTCCCCTGGGGATGGACGGAGAGAGGCCAGGGCGTGTTGGAACTGGGGCCCCACACTGACACTCAGCATGCAGAAAACCCTCTCATGCTTGCCTTGCAATGTGGAAGGCAGTCAGTCACGTTTCTATTCCCTTAAAAACATTCTGGCCTACCCTGACTTCCTAAATCCTAAATCCAAGCATGGGAGTACGTTCTATAAATACAAGTCCCCATGCAAACCTCCCAGGGGTGGGGTCCTCTGCCTGCCTTACAGGAGTGGGTGTGTGAGCAACACACAGGTCAGGCAGAAGCTGAAGTCCCAGCCGTCACTCACTGTGTAACCCCTGGAACTGGACTCCGGTGTCTGAATGCACGCGAGGTAGAGCAATTTTGAGAAAAACCACAAACCACATGTACTGGGAATCAGAGGACAGACTGTGATGTGCTTGAGGAGCTAAAGGGGGCTGTGCTGTGACGAGGGGTGCCAAGGGACAGTGAGACATCCCCCCATTGAACCAGTAAGGAATGACAAGACAAAGCAGAAAGCTGGCACACTGAGGACACGCCCGTTTTGTGGGACCCCCGCCTTTCTGTGCTGTCGACTCTGTGACACACACATTGACAGGGTGTGTGACTCTAGTGAAGACTGCTGCGATGCAGCCCTGGATGAAGTCTGGTCGTAGGGCACACCCCGCTTCCTAAGAACTCATTCAGGCATGATCACCCGGTCTGAAGTGAAGGTCCAACAGAGTTTAAAGCACGTCTTTTAGAGCTGACACAACTTTTAAGACTGAAGAGTCTGGGCCAGTTCGTGGCCTGATAGTTTAGGCAGCTGGATCCCACATGGGCAACTGCAGTTAGAAGCTTGGACCTGGCAGCTGGACAAACACCAGGTGAATGTGCATGCATGCCCAGAATCTCGAAGGGAGGGAGATGGAGGAAAAGGGATTGAGAAGTGGCTAATTCCCATGGGGGGAGGAGGTGCTTTCTGTCTTTCCCCCTCTCTCTCTGGCAAAATTTTTAAAAATTAAAAATGCTGGGACCAGCGGTTAGCGTAATGGCTATGTTGCTGGACTCTCATGTAGTCGACTGTGGTTCGAGTCCTGGACTCGGTAACTTAAACTCACGCCGGGCATGTGTGCGTGTGTGCCCAAGATCCTAGGAGGAGAATGGAGGAGAAGGGATTGTTGCGTGGCCATACTTCCTGGGGGGTGATTTCTCGCGTTCTGTCTTTCTGCCTCTGTCTCTCTGGCGAGCGCACGCGCTCTATAGCAAAAACCTGTCCAAAAAAAAAAAAAAAGCTAGAGAGTCCACATGAGAAAACGTTAGCAGTCCTGAGGACCAGCAAGTTCCAGTCCCTTAGCTGTCTGTCTGCTGCCTCCTGGTATTGTCAACTAGGCCCAGGACTCACCTCCTTACTGCATTTGCTCCTAATCCTGCTGGCCCACTGCAGTATCTCTGTCCTGTTCTTCCCCATCACTAGATCTTCCAATAAGTACACAAAACATGCTCCAGTACTTCCTTTCTTTAGGAAAAACCCCTCTCCTTGAACCCATATTCCCTTGGTTACCCCGTTTCTCTTTGCCTCGTTACTGAAAGAACTGTCTGTCCTCCCTGCACTACACTCCTCTCTTCCCGTTTCCCCTTGAACCTCCTCCAACGAGGCCTCTCTGGCACAACTCATGAAAACGCTCTGCTCACCAAGGACCATGCCCCAGGGGAGAGGCACTCCTGATGCCTCCTTCCACGCGCACTGAGTTCAATTATGGGCACATGCCTGTGCGTGAGGAAGGAGCCCCGAGGCAGGGACAGCCCAGCCACTTCCTTGCTCTCTCAGAACCTCGGCTCCCTCAGGGATTGCACACTCCCCCTCTGCTGTCCCTCTGTACTTTTGCTCCTCAAAGACTGGCCCCACATGGCAGCATCGACACCGCTTAGAGGCTAATTCGAGGGACCAGCAGAGGGCGTGGAGATCGAGGCAGCTGAATCCCACAGCCAGTTGTGCTTGGAGAACATGCCAGGCATGTGTGCACCTGAGCTCAGGGACCTGAGAGGAAAATGAAGAAGGGATTGCAACGTGGCCATACTTTCCCCCTCTCTGTCTCTGGTGAGAGCTTGCAGCCTGTATAGCAAAACATAAAATAAAAAAATATGGAATCTGGCCCAGTTGTAGTGGTGCAAGCAGTGGGGCACCACTGCTGGTAGCTGGGGCCACATGGGAGGCCCAGGTTCAGATCCTGGACCAATTTACACCATTTCCAGTGGTATAATGGTTACGTCACTGGACTCCCACATGGTTGACTGCAGTTTGAGCCTTGGACCCGGTGGCTTGAATCTCACACTGGGTGCATGTATGTTTGCCCAAGATCCCGGGAGGAAAATGAAGGAAAAGGGATTGCGGTGTGGCCATTCCTCCCTGGGGGCCTGATTTCTTACTTTCCCTCTTACTGTCTCTGACCCTCTTTCTCCCCCCAGTGAGTGCACGTGCCCTACACTAAAGACCTTTAAAAAAAAAAATCGGGACCAGCAGGTGGTCGTTAAGGCACTAGACATTCCCATGTAGCTGACCATGGTTCAAGTCCCAGACCTGATGGTTCGCTTTCTCACTTTCCCTCTCTTCTCTGTGTCTCTCACTGGTCAAATGAAAATGAATGCATGAATAAATAAATAAAATTAAATTAATAATTATTTTTTAAAAAGCAAAAAAAAAAACAACAAAAAAATCTCAACTGTCTCCTGTTCCTCTCCCTTCCTTCCTACTTCACTCCTCTCTCTGTCAAGAAGGAAGGAAGGAAGGAAGGAAAGAAGGAAGGAAGGAAGGAAGGAAGACACTGTAGAATCACAGGCTCCATCCTGACCTACTCAATCCAAATCAGCATCTTGGCGATAGTGGTACACATTAAATTGGAGAAGCCAGGGCAGCAGGTGGTATAGGGTTGAGGCACTGGCCTTCCCCACGGCTGACTGTGGTTCAAGTCCCAAACTTGGTAGCTTGCTTTCTTGCTTTCTCTTTCTCTGGTGAGTGCATGTGCCCTATAGCAAATAATAATAATAATAAATAACATTATAATTTAAAAAAATTGGAGAAACCCTGTTCCAAGCCCTCTATTGCTGAGGTTAAGGATTAAGAAATCCATTTGCCCATACAGGTAAGTCACAGGTCTTAATTACTATTATTTAAGGTTTTTGCCATATTATTATTACTATTATTTAAAGTTTTTGTGCTTGCTGGAGAGACAGAGACAGTGAGAGAGAAAGTGAGAAATCACCCCCCAGGGAAGATGACCGCGCCACAATCCCTTCTCCCCTATCCTCCTCCTGGGATTGAGCATGCACACATGTACCCAACGTGCGTTTCAAGCCACTAGGTCCAGGACTCAAACTAGGTCATGTGGGAGTCCAGCTCCTTAACTCATCACACCACCTGCTGGCCCCACATTTTAAATCATTATTTAATTTTTTTCATTATTCATGATAGAGGTCATGCACACACATGAGAGAAGAGGAGAGAGGAGCACCTTCCAGAGGGTCTGGTCACATGCGACCCCCTTTCTCCAGTCCACTCGCAGGCATGCTGCTCCATTAGGCTGACCGGGCCGGGTCAGCTGTGTGGCAATGTGGGATCCAGGTTCTAGAGTAGCACTTTAGCGCTGTGCTGTGCAGCTGGCCCCTAAGCCACAAATGTAGAGAGCAGTTTTCAATGAATAATAATCAATCAGCAATAATCGCAGCTCAGATAAACCTCATTGGCTACGATACTGCCACTGCGCAGAGCTGGAGGGCCGTTTTATGTTATAAACATGGTATTTTCACATCCCACTTGCCTTGTTCTTTTGTTTCTTAATTGGTTCTGCAATCAGGAAAAAAGGGATGCTGCTCACTGGCTCCCTCAAGCTGCCTACATCTTCCTGTTGCCAAAGCCTGAGGTCTCTGCTCAGCCCTGATTTGAACCTACCCATGCACTGAGCAGTGATCACTTCCTGTCTCCAAACACTTCCTTAACTTGGCTGCCAAGTGTCACTCTCTCCCCGGGCTGCCCCTCTTCCCTCTCACTGAGTCCTCATCATTTCTTGACCTCTACATGTTGGAGCACTCTAAGACTCAGTCCCTGGCTCTTATCTAGTACACTCGCTCCTCAGTCTCCTTATGGTCTTGAGCCTCTACCTGTCCTCTTCACACGGACAACTCTCAGGTGTTTCTCTCAGCCTCAAACGCTCTCCTTGAATCCACCTGGCTTATCCGAGCGTCTCACCAACCACAATTCATGTAGAAACGTTGGCATCTCAAAGTGAACACAACCAAAATCAAACTCTTGATTCAGGTCTATTCTTCAAAACTTTTTTTTTTTCCTTTCTTTCTCTCTTCCTTTCAGGTTTTTGCCACTGGGCATCTTCCTTTCAGGTTTCTGCCACTGGGCAGGTAAGCTTGCTAGAGACAAACAGTGAAAGGGCAAGTGAGAAATCACCGCCTAAAGGGGATGGCCATGCCACAATCCCTTCTCCTCCACTCTCCTCCTGGGACTTTTGGGATGTACACACACGTGCACAGAGTGATCTTCAGCCACCAGGTCCAGGAATCGACTGTGATCGGCCATGTGGGAGTCCAGCACCATAACCACCATGCCACCTGCTGGCCTCCCTTAGCTGTTTTTCTACCAATCTTCATCTTAGGGAACTGCAATGTTCTTTTTGCTCAGGCACACACCCTGTGAGTTACTTTTCTCCTTTCTCTCTAATCTTACTTTCAGTGTCTCAGCAAACTGTGTTAATGCTAACTTTAAAACGTACCCGGGCCAGTGCTGGAGTGCAATGGTTGAGCACTGTACATAGGGAACCAGACCCCACCTGGCTGAATGTAGCTCTAATGCCAGCCCATGGTGGCTTGAAAAACATGCCAAGTACATGAGCATGTGTGCCCCAACTCCTCATGAGATGGAGAAATGGAGGAAAAAAATAACTGTGGCCTGACCATGTCCCCATGGAGGGTGATATCTCTATCTTTATCAAGTGCATGTGCCTTCTGACAGGGAAGGAAAACAACCCTTCGATGTATCCTGACTCTGACCCTTTCTTCCCGCCTGTACTGCTCTACCTTAGTCTAAGCCGCCACTATCCTGGAAGGCAGGGTAACAATCTCCTCATCTGTCTGCCTTTTTCTCTTTCTTTTCTTTTTCTTTTTTTTAAGAGTTATTTATTTAATTTTATTTATTTATTCATTTATTTTAATTTGGCCAGAGAGAGAGGGAAAGTGAGAAAGCAAGCCACTTGAACCATGGTCGACCATGTGGGAGTGTCCAGTGCCTTAACCACCATGCCACATGCTGGTCTCCTGTCTCTCTTTTTCTAAACTACCCCCACTCTGCCCCAGCCTATACACGACTGCTTCCCTCTTAGCGCATAGTCTTTTTTTTCCCAAATAATTATTTAATTTTATTTATTATTTTTTGCTATAGTTCACATGTGCTTACCAGAGACAGATAGACAGAAAGAGAGGGAGGGCAAGTGAGAAAGCAAGCCACCAGGTCCAGGACTTGAACCACAGTTGGCCATGTGGGAGTCTAGCGCCCTACCTACCATGCCACTTGCTGGCCCCCAGAATGTTCTCTTAGAAACACAAATAAGGGGCCAGGAGATGGTGTAGTGGTCGCTGGACTACCACATGGATGACAGTGGCTTGAGTCCCAGACCCGGTGGCTTGATCACACCAGGCGCATGTGTGTGTGTGCCCAAGATCCTGAAAGAACAATGGAGGAGAAGGGACTGCAGCATGGCCATCCCCTTGGCGGGGGAGGGGGAGGAGTGACTTCTTACTTTCTCTTTCACTGTCTCTGTCTCTCTCCCCTGCCCAAGCAAGCACACATGCCCTAAGGCAAAAACCTCTCAAAAAATAAAGTAAAATAAAGTAACAAAATAAAATAAAAACACAAATAACGAGCCAGCAGGTGGTGTAGTGGTTAGGTGCTGGACTCCCATGCGGCCAAATGTGGTTTGATTGCCAGACCCGGGAGCTTGAAACTCATACTAGGTGCATTTGTGTGCATGCGCAAAATCTCGAGGAAAATGGAAAAAGGACTGCGGTATGGCCATCTCCCCCGGGGGGTGATTTCTCACTTTCTATTCATCTCTAGCAAGCACATGTGCCCTGCAGCAAACAAACAAACAAACAAAACAATCAAAAAACAAAACCAACAACAAAAAACTCTCAAAAACACCCCCCCCCAAAAAGTCCCACAAATAAAATCATGTGACTCTCCTCAAACACTTTCACTAGCTTACCATTTCAACCTAAGGAAACCCAAGTCCTCACCTAAGCCCCACATCACCTGGTCCTGGAGACTTTCTGATGTCTGCTATTGCTTTTTCCCTCACTGACCCACACCAGCACTCTTGCTATTTCTGGAACCTACTAAAGACACTGCGGCCTCAAGGGTTTAATTACTGTTTGGAGATCTCTTTGCCCAGGGATTTGCACAGCTAAGCCTGTCTTTTAATCCAGGAGTCTGCTCAAATGTCATCTCCTCAGAGGCCTCCCTCCCTCCCTCCCTGACTACACACTCTATGGGATGCCTCCTTCCCCTCCCTCTCGAATCTTTCGTGGAGCTGTACTTTCCTGTGACACTTGCCACTTGACATGGTGAATGTTTAATAGATGTCATCCCCCATGGAGTGAGGGGGCCACCAGTGCATGGTCTTGCTCTGCTGGCAGTGACACGAGGCACAGGTGGGCATGCCACGATTTGTGGAACAATCATTACTTCATGACTGAGTGCTGTTTCTCCCTCTCTCCCTCGGGTTCTACCCAAACGGCTAGGACAGTGGTCCCTGCTCATAAGTGGGAGCTTGTAAAATTCAGTCGACATGTTGACCATCTCAACCCAGGGGCCAGCAGGTGGCATGGTGGCTAAGCGTACTGGACTCCTACATGGCCAACCTCGGTTTGAGTCTTGGACCTGGCAGCTTGCTTTCTCACTTTCCCCCTCTCTCGCTTGCTATTTCTCTCTTGCTTTGTTCCTCTCTGGTCAGTTTTTTTTTTCTAAAAGTAAATAAATAAAGTAAAATGAAATAATTCTTAAAAAAAGAAAGAAAACCTCAAATCCCATCTGTCCTCTAGCCCCCCTCCCCAGACCAACACAACATTACAGAATCACTGGGAGGGAACAAAGGAGCTTCGGGAGAAAGACAAGTCATCCAGCTGAAAGAGCCACTTGACATATTTGGGAGGAAAGCACCATATTCACTTTCCTGGCTACATAAAACCACTGTCTTGAATACTGGAAAAGGAACACGTAAGGCCATGGTGTCAGGACTTTCGTCTTAGAAGGGTATTATCTTTGCAAGTCAAGGGAAGTCTTTGTGTAATTACCTTTCAAAGGGTGCAAGAGCAAAACGCACAGCAGAGCCTTCGGTTGCACTGGGTGTACCTTTATTATTTTACCTCGTTCACTAAGAGCTTTGTGATGCAAGGTTACCATACACAGTTAGGTAATGTCTGCATTGCACATCAAAGGCTATACAGCAAAAGAATCAGAATTAGTACAAATACGAGAACTATATTTACATTCTGTATACTCAAGCTCCGAACATCAGATAATATTTACAAAATAAAACATGAAAATGAAAATCCAAAATTAATAATGTACATTGTTGCTAATGTGCTTAACTCCTTCATGGGGAGAGATCGGTTTGCAAAGTCTTGGTTCAGAAAGGCCACTTATGCTTCATGGATTTTGTTGTCGTATGTGAGGATGGTGACAAGAGACTTGAAATCTCAGCAGACAAGTAAATTTAGAGCCACCAAATTCAAGACAATGTCTTAAACTTGAGAAGGCTGACGGATTCCTCAGGTGAACTGATGCCAGAATAAGCAGTGTGGAAAAAATTAACTCAAAAGACATGAAAAACAACACACAACAGCCAGGGTTTGGCAAGAGACCAACCTCAGCTTGACTTTCCATCTGAGCACAGCTGTTTGGTTCTGAGTTTTTAACGTGAATTTTGTTCCAATTCTAATTTCTTAATTTAAATGACTGGAGGATTTCTTGAGATTTTATGAGCTCGAATACTAATTTCATAAATGGCCTTTTGAACAACAGCAGCAAATCATCTCTCAGCTGAGACTTCGATTTTCTAAGGAAGCACAAATGAAAACATTCCTGAAAATACAGTCAGGATCTGGCCAGCACGTGGGTGCGTCGCTGGGTAGGGCAGACAGCTGCGGTGTACACAGGTCAGTGTCCCACCGAGACACGCTCAGCACTCTCCGGGACAGCAGCAGAGTTCGACTTCGCTTTTTAAGAAGTAGGTTAACAAGTCACATTTACAAAGGGAACCAAGAGGAGAACTGAAGGACCCAAGTCAAACAAGCAACCCGATACCGTCCAGGAGAACCCAAGTGGACCACACACCAGGGAAACGCACAGAATTCCGGCAGGGGCTACGCGCTAGGGTATCCTTTCTCTTCCAGTCCAATGTGCAATTAATTATAGCTGTATAAATATACATATACCTTACAAAATTAAATATCCCTGTAAATTAGACAACAAGCAGCAGGCAACAAAGTCTTTGCTTTGAAATATGTGCCAGGAGACGTCATCTTGTTTCTAGATCCTAAAAGACCTTTCACAAGGACTTAAATTTATTCCTTCATCTTAGACAAGCTGAAAAAAATCTACCGAAAATATGAGTAGCTGTATAAGCCCCACAGAGCTGATGGGGGGAAAATATATCAAATGATTGTGGGTTCTTAGTTGGGAAAAGTCCTTTTTCCTTGTCCTCACCAAGTGCTAACAATAAGTTGGAGTTTGGGTGCCCACCCTGCTGCCAGAAGCAGCATTTTCCTGGCTCCTGACTGTGCGCGGGCTGGCTGACCCCACACAGTGCTGGCCTGAGGGCTGACTGACTCCCAGGCAGAGGCACAGAGCTAGGGAGGGCCCGAGCACTGGTCTGAGGTTGACTATGAGAAAGGAGAAGTGAGGGAGAGAGCATTCGCTTTAACTAGCATTCCTTTGTCTTTAATTTGTGTATGAGTTTTCTTTTTTGCCCTTATTTTTTTCTGGAAGGGAGGGGGCTTTGTTTAAAGGGGTATTTTAAGAAAAAAATTTAAAAATCAAAAAACTTAAAATACGGTTTCCTTAAAGGTTACGTCTTTTAACTTCTTGCCACTATGGTTACCGGCAAAGCCTCACAGGTAATTCCTGCCGTAACTTTTCTCAGGGCTTCAAAGTGGGGATGGCCCTGTCTAGAACAAGAACACTAGCCCTGAAACTCCGATCTGAATATGGGCCCCGAGGGAGGTGGGAGGTACTGTCCACACCCATCAGCCACAACAGAGCAGCCTCAGAGGGGGAAAGCATGCTTGCCCAAGCCCCCCTGCAGGACACGACCCACCTGCCTCCTCCGGTTTCCGAATGAGGCTTTCTGACGGGGCACATCATCAACAGTCTAATTTGGCTTGTTCCAACGTCTGACACTTCCAAAGCAAAGACTTTCCAAACCAGTTTTGTCTGAGTTAGGAGGAAAAACAAGTCATTTCAGTGTACCACATGATCTCGCACTCCCTCGGGCATCCCGCCTCCCAGTCACACACGGCTTTCTAGCAGACTTCAGGACAGCAGCAACACCAGTGATTCATCTTGAAAGTGACCTTCTGATCTCATCTTCATTTCCCTGAAATTCTATTTCAGTCCAGGAAGCTGTCTCAATGCGCTGACAGATCCTGCTGGATGTGGGTATACGCCAGAAGGGAGTATCGTGTCCGTTAGACAGCAAAAAAATCTTCTAACTATATTAAAACTCTCATACACTTAGAAAACAAGTAACATCATAGTTAGTGACCTATGTTTTAAGGAGAAGAAGAAGGTTAAAAAAAAGTCTACCGGAGTTTTTATTGATTACTTTTCAGATAAGGACAGTGTGATTTCTACCCTTCCTTTTATTAAGCTCTCTGTGGGTCACTTCTCCTCTTTGCAAGCTCGAAGCTGGGAGACCTGTTCTTCAGATATAAGCCAAACCACCCAGGAAGTCAGAAACAAGGGCCTGGGAGATACAGGGTTTCCAGCACTGTTCCACAGGGATTCGTGAGCCCTGACCTTCCCTCGTGAAGCAGAGTAAGCCAGCTGCTGTCGCCTGAGAGTCAGCAACATTAAGGCTAAGAACCCTCAGTCCTTGAAAAGTAGGAGCGAGTGAAAACTTTCCTGAATGTTCAAGTGCTGATGAAAGAGGCCTGAGCGAGGGAAGTAAAAGATAAACAACCCTAAGTCCACCGGTAAAGCAGCCAAAGCAATCTGCAGGCTCTCTCTTCTGTGTCATTCTTGTTAAACTTACTGGCAAATGGGTGGTCTCTGGAAGCCAGAAGATCCTAGTCTGTCAGAAGAAAAGGAGACTGTCCACAGTGGACTTTCTCCTTGGGATTATCTCTGCATCAGGAGAGACAAGCAACAAACTCCTGGGCTAGCGCGAGGGGGGTCACTCTTCTTGTGCCCAGTTGGCCCTTCATTTTTTGTTTGGAGTGGCAGGAAGGGTTGGATTTAATCCTGGGACCCAGAAACCAGAGCCTGCTGTGCTTGTTTATTTGAGATGGGGACACAAGCTCCACAGGGACCACTTTTCAATTTGATAAAACATTATTGAACATGACCCCTGGACTCAGAGGGAGACTTCCAAGTGTTATTTGAACTCTACATTTCTTTGATCAAAGGGAGCTGTACCTATCACAGGGACACTACTCATCATGATCATGATCATCAAGCTTATCACCAGAAAGTGAGACACTCCCCCTCGTGGGCCACTTGTGTACAACACTGCACTGATCCCAAACACGCTAATGCCAAGTACAGAGCTGAGGAACTTCTAGGGAACAGCCTCCTGATGAAGAGAGTTCCCAGGAACTCCTGGCTACAGCCTTCATGGCCCACTGCCATGCCCCACCAAGAATATCCTTGCCTCTTCCTTTCTTTCAGGGTCAGTATCAGCCACCGCCTCAGGCCTAGAAAGGCCTCTCTTTTCTTCTAAATGAAAATTATATCACTACGCCTAAATATGCCCCAAATTTGACTCAGAGAATATAACTGTCCTGTTTCTAAGCTCACCACAACTTTTTCCCTAGGTAAAAATGCAGGGACTAGCCATGGTAAAAAGACAGAAGAGGGGAAAAGGTAAGTGCTCTCCCTGTTAGATTCTGAAAAGCCAGGTATCTCTTCCTTTAGTCTCTCAGCCACCCAAGAAAAATTAAAGTGATATTGCAAACAGAGAAAAAAAAAGCAAAAAAAAAAAGAGCATGATGTTGCCTTGAAAAGCAGACAAAGGTATCCAAAGACAGCAGTACAGACACCAGGGCTGATCATATGGGGACCTAGCATACAAAAGGAAGCCAAAATACACCAAAATGTAATTTGGAGATTCACAGGATCTCCTTGGGGGTTTTGTGTTTGTTGTTGTTGGTTTTTTTTTTTTTTTTTAGTCTTTTTTTCCTTTTGTTAGGCCACATGCTACTAACAAGATTCTCAGCACAAGAAAAAAAGAAGAGTACAGAGCAATGGAGATGCGGAACAGGAGAGCTAGAAAAAGTGCTGGACGAGGAGGGAGAGTAGTTAAGCCACAGGATCACACACAAAGAGTAACCGTCAAGAATCACAAAGAGAAATGAGAGGTAACACTTTCTTTATCTCTCGAAGGCAGGTGCGTGGGGACTCTCGCAGTCACTTAGAATTTCGGTTGACTCGGGCATCTGCGGGAGAGTTTGGACCTGTGAAGGTGAAGGGGGAGGCAGGGTTAGAGACATGGACCCGGGTGTTCACAGGGCTCCTTCTCTGCCATGGCTCCCTCCTTGAACTTCCTATCGGGCACCTCAGGCTCAATCTCTAGGTTCTGTTCAAACAGCAGGCTGGAGTGTTCCTCACTGATATCCCTCCCAGGATCTGAGTACTGGGAGACCTCTGCAGTTCTCATGATCCTCTGTTTACTGAGTCCCCTAGACCTATCCACAGATCTCTTGAGAACAAAAAAGATAAAGGAGGGGATTAATTGCTGCAATTAATTAAGAGTCTTCTCAGTGGTTTGGGAGGCAATATGCTATTTTACAAGAGACACAGGCCTCATTATCAACCTACAGCCACACTAATACTCCTGTCCTTCCTCTACTTTTAACATTTCTTCTATGAGAGGGACTCACAGAACAGAGAGGGAGGAAAAGCGAGGTAGGCACCCTCAACAGGGTCTTCTCATGACACTCCACCCAGCCCTCAGCCAGCCTGGATCAGGGGCAGTGCATGCACCTGGAGGCCTTAGAACCTTCCATGTGGGCCCATCATGGTAGAGAGCTGCACTACTGCCGGGACACTGTCTTCCCCTTCCTCTGTTTTAAACAATACTTCCTTTCCTATTATGTTGGTGTCCCCGGGCCAAAGTCAAGAAGAGAAAGGAAATCCAAGAACAACTTCTTACCGTATTGTGCCAGCAAGGAGTGGATTAAAGGCATATAACCAGTCATTCATGTCTTTGTCATTTAGAGCCTGCAAAAGGACCCCACGGTGCTTGGTGCAGACAGCAAAGGTGTTAGGTGTCTGAAAGAAATGTGGTCAAATGAGAAAGTTACTATGGAGGCTGATCAGTGAGGACACCTGGCTGTATTCACAGGACATATGGTATTTTACACTGAAAGTTCAAGGAGACCAAACAGATACAAAGGAAAGGTTCCACGTCACCTAACAGAGTTCAGACCTCAGGAGGGAATGGTGCATGAAGCCATGAAAAGCCAACAAGTCAGGACCTACCTTCACCATGGCCTGCTGGTCCTCGCTGTACTCCACCTGGGCTGTTGACAGGTTAATGATACCACGCTCCACTGGGTCTTTGTCATTGTTATAGATGAAGACATAAGGGCGACGAACCACAACAAAATGTTTAGCCCAGTTGCTGGAAAGTGGCTCCTTGAAATTTAGGTATCCCTTTTTAGAGACCACTGAACTAAAAAGGACAATATAAACAAACAAAAAAGGTTAGTTTCTCACAAAAAACAAAATGATCATACACTAGGACCATCAAAAGGCCAGGTCCACAGATTCAATGAAACAGGCAAATGACCTTACTGGCCTAGAATTTTATCTGCAAAGAGTAATAGAGCAGAAGAGTAGAAAGTGCCAGAACAACATGGCTTACTCCCCAGGGTGGACGCACTCTGAGATACGACTGGAGCAGAAACCCAGTCTAGCTCTTTCACCCCAGATTCAATTTGCATCGACTATAATATAGACTTCAAACAGAGGAAGTGGAAGTAAATTCTCTTCCCTGATTTGTCTTTATGCCTGGCATTCCTAGCCAATATAGTACTCACCCTGGTCTAATTTCTTCAATGTCTGGAACAAGATTGAGAAATTCATTTTTTCCTGCTCGGGCCAAATAGGGTGTTTCCACCACTGGAACAATCTGAAACTGTTCAAATTCTGGGCAGGGACTAGAGGCCCGGGAATTGGCTTCTGGGGTCCTTTAAAAGAGAGAGGTGAAGTAACAAGAGTTCAGTTATGGTCAAGGTGAACTGTGTACAAACACTCCAGGGGGAACAAAAACCTCAGTTTCAGAAGAGTTCTGCAGAGAAGACAAGTTGGTATCAGAAAGTTAACTCTAAATTCAACTGGTCTATCTTTCAGAAGTTACAAAAGGACGTGGATCACTGATGGCCATCGAGTCACAGTCTCACTTCTTATTCCAAAGCCCTCTGAACCCAAGGATCAGGAAATCAACTCTGTGTGCACTCTGATGTTTCCTTCTAGTCCTATGGCCACATCGAGGGCAATGGTTCTCCAAGTGTGGTCCCTGACCAGCAGCATCTGCTTTACCTGGGAAGCTGCTAGAAATTGAAAGTCTGGGGCTGGCAGGTGCTGCGGTGGTTAAGGTGCTAGACTCCTACATGGCCATCATGGTTTGAGTCCTGGACCTGGTGAGTTGCTTTTTCACTTTCCCTCTCGTCAAATTAAATAATGCTGATAATAATAAAAAATTAATTAATTAAATAAATAATTCTTAAAAAGAGAGAGAGAAATTCAAATTCTTGGGGCCAGCAGGTGATGTGGTGGTTAAGGCACTAGACACTCCCACATGGCTGACCACAGTTTGAGTCTCGGACCTGGTGCCTTGCTTTCTTGCTTTCCCTCTTTCTCTCTCTCTGATCAAATTAAAATAAGTGAATGAATAAATAAAATTAAAATAAATAATTCTTTTAAAAAAGCATGCAAATTCTTTCTTAAAGAATTCTTTAATTTTAAAATTTATTTTATGTTAGTTATTATTTTTTTAAATAATGTATTAGTTAATTTGCTTTATTTACTTATTTATTTAATTTTAAATTTTTTTTTTCTGAGAGGTTTTTGCTATAGGGCGTGTGCGCTTGCCAGACAGACAGAGAGAGACATAGAGACAGAAAGCGAGAAATCACTCCCTAGGGGGGATGGTCACGCCGCAATCCCTTCTCCTCCATTCTCCTCTCGGGATCTTGGGCATGCACGCACACGCGCCCGGCGTGAGTTTTAAGCCACCGGGTCCGGGACACGAACTGCGGTCGACTACGTGGAAGTCCAGCGACATAGCCATTACGCTAACTGCTGGTTCCCTTAATTTTAAATTTTGACCTGAGTGGGACAGAATGAGAGAGACAGAGAGAGAGGGAAAGTGAGAAAGCAAGCTGCCAGGTCCAGGATTTGAACCATGGTCATCCAATGTGGGAGTCCAGTGCCCTTAACCACCACACCACCTGCCAGCCCACTTTATTATTATTAAACATTTTGTTTTATGTTATTATTATTATTTAAAATTTTTGCTATTGGGCACATGCACTCACCAGAGAGAGACAGAGAGAGAGAGGGAAAGTGAGAAAACAAGCTGCCAGGTTCGGGATTTGAACCACAATTGACCAGTATGGGAGTCCAGCACCCTTAACTATCATGCCACCTGCCCGCCCCTTTTATGTTGTTATTATTACTAAAATTTTTATTTTATGTTATTATGTTTTATGTTATTATTATTTAAAAATGTTTGCTATAGGGCATGTGTACTCATCAGAGAGAGACAGAGAGAGAGACAGAAAGGGGAAGAGAAAAAACAAGATACCACGGTCAGCCATGTGGGGGTCCAGTACTTTAACCACCACGCCACCTGCTGGCCCCAGAAATTCAAATTCTTAGGCTCTAACCCAAACAGAGAATCCAAAAGTCCAACATGTAGAATCAGAAAGTCTGGGTGAGGTTCAGCTATCTGCCCTTATTAGCAAGCACTCAGGGGACACTCATGCACACAAAAGGCTGAGACTTGGGAAATGGCAGAAAGCAAAATGTGGAAAGAACCTAGACTGCTGAAGCTGAACAGCATGTGGAACGGAGCTGCACCACTGACCACGACCAGTTCTTAGGACTGTTAGGTCAGAAATAAATACCTATGCTCCATATTAAGTATCTCTGTGAAAGTTTAGCCTGATTGATGGTATCTCATTGACTTTTGAAAAAAAAAATTTTATATACTTTCTTATTTCTTGAATGGGATGCACCTTAGAATTGATGGCATGTTGAATTTAGTTGGCAGTGCCTTTTCTTTCTTAGCGGCACATAAAATAATCTTAGAGTTGATGGCAGACTAAATCTAGTAAAATTTCCTGGCTGGGTTAGTTTCTCCAGCCATAATGGGCTGTGTCAGTGTTGGTACAGTAAGGCAACAGACATAAGGATCGTAACCAGGTGGGTTTTGACACATAATGAGCATAATGACAAGGTGAAGATAATGGAGATTGGTAAGAGCTTGAGGGTACATTGCAAAGAGGTGAATTTGCAAAGAGGTGAATCTAGGCCAAATTTATCTTTATTTTTCTTACCTATGATTTTTTTTTTTTATTTTTGAGAGAGATTTTTGCTATAGGGTACATATGCTTGTTGGAGAGACAGAGACAAAAAGCAAGAAATTACCCCCTGGGAGGATGGTCACACTGCAATCCCCTCTCCTCTACTCTCTTCTTGGGATGTTGGGCATGCACGCACATGTGCCAGCATGAGTTCCAAGCCACCAGGTCTGGGACTTGAACCGTGGCCAACCACGTGGGAGTCCAGAGATGTAACCATTCACCATCTGCTGGTCCCTTTACCTATGATTTCATCATGGCATAAAAATATTTTTCCTGGGACCAGTGGTTAGCGTAATGGCTATGTCACTGAACTCCCATGTAGTTGACCGCGGTTCGAGTCCCGGACCTGGTGGCTTAAACTCATGCTGGGCACGTGTGCATGGGTGCTGAGGAGAGGAGATTGGAGGAGAAGGGATTGCAGCGTGGCCATCTCCCCGGGGGGTGATTTCTCACTTTCTGTCTCTCCATCTCTCTCTGTCTTCTGGGCAAGTGCACGTGCCCTAGAGTGGAAAAAACAAACAAACAAACGAAGAAAAATACCTCTCAAAAAAATATATTTTTTTCCTAAAATGGAGCTTCCTATGTCTGAAATCATGACTGGGAAGACAAGCAAGAGCAAGAATGGGAGGGCAAAACAAGTAGAAAGAGCCTAAGAGGAGTCATCGAGCCGATGCGGACAGTAAGATACGATGTTCACTGTGACACACAGCCGAGCCTCCACATCTCTGCATGCTGTCTGGGGGGACAGTGCTGCCCTCAGTTGAGAACACCTCCGCTGAGCTAAAGAAAGGTTGATGTTGTCCTTGGTTCTTAGGAGGGCTTCCCTCAATGAAATCTGTGTACTTACTTCTGATCTGAAGAGTTGCTCCTAGAGTCTACCAGAGAGGGACAGGTGGAGGAGGGAGTGAGGGTGGCACTGCTGAAACTGGACACAGAGGGATCCCGTCCAATCGGAGAGAGATCAGACAACTGGAAGCAAATACGACACAGCAAATGAGATTCAGCTAAAAAAAAGCTGCCCCTGCAATAGAAAGCTTTGCCAGCCAGTGACATGTTTATAAATCTTCTGTTTTAGAAAGTTATTAAAAAAACAACTAATATATCATTTACCAATAAACAGAGTAATTAATTAAATATTTTTAAAAAGAAAACAAGCCTATAATTTCTTTTAAATAATTATTTTATTTATGTATTTACTTATGCTATTATTTTTTCACATGAGTTTTGCCAGAGAAAAGACAGAGAGAGAGAGGGAGAGCTAGAAAGCAAGCCGCCAGATCTGGGATTCAAACTGCAGTTGGCCATGTGGGAATCCCAGCGCCTCAACCACCAAGCCACCTGCTGGGCCCAGCCTATAATTTCTTTTAAGGTTTTTGCCAAATGGCATGTGTGCTGTGGAGAGGGGAGTGAGAGACAGACAGACTGACAGACAGTAAGAAATAAAGTGAGAAATCACCCCCCAGGAGGGTAGCCATGATGCAATCCTTTGTCCTCAGGATTTGGGGCACACACGCAAATGCACCCAGCATGACTTTCAAGTTGCCAGGTCTGGAACTTGAATCATGGTCAGTCATGTGGGAGTCCAGTGCCTTAGCCACTGGGCAACCTGCTGGTCCGACCTACAAATATTTTATGACCTAAGTGCCATGTCTGGAATCAAGATATTTACAAAAGAAGCAAGGCTGACTTTTTATATTTTATTTATAGGATTAATGTTGTTTATATTTACCTTATTCATATTACATTATTTATTTTATATTACATATATTGTATTATATTATATTTTATATTGCTACTGCCCTCATGCGCTGTCTTTATGTACATGTGCTAAGCACCTATCACATACCTGGCATGTGCTAAGAATATGGAGAGGGCTTGCCCTCTTAGAGCTTGTATTTTTGTGGAAAAGACAAACAAGAAACCACTTTAAGCAAATACTTAAAGATAAAGTGGGGGAAAGGGTGGTGCTGGACTCCCACATGGCTGATAGTGATTTGAGTCCCAGAGCTGGTGGCTTGCTTTCTCTCTCACTCTCTCTCTCTCTCTGTCTCTCTTGCTCTGTCACCTCTCTGGTCAAATTTAAATAAATAAATAAATAAATAAAGTTAAATAAAATTCTTTTAAAAAATTTTAAAATAATTATTTCCTTTATTTATCACTATTGTTGTTATTATTATTATTTTTAATTTGACCAGAGCAAGACACAGAGAGAGAAAGAGAAAGAGAGGAAGCAAGCTGCCAGGTCCAGGACTCGGATGGACCACAGTCAGCCATGTGGGAGTCCAGTGTTCCCAATCACCATGCCACCTGCTGGCCCCAAGTTAAATAAAATTCTTTAAAAAAAAAATAAAATAAAAGTCCACTCTAAGGAGGCAATATTTAAGCAGAAAAGTGAAAGTGACAAGGAGGCCAATCACGGGGCTATCCTAAAGAAGGCTGTTCTAGGCCAAGGAACACTAAGACCCCAAGGCAGAAGTGAGTTGGGAGTACTTAAGGGACAACAAAAAGAGCCCCACTGATTGGAATAGAGGGAACGACACAGAAGTCTTTGAAATGTTTACCTCACCTTTTGTTGAAGGCAACAAAACTTTATGCCACCAAGACCCTTAAAGCCCCATTGGGAACCAGCAGTTAGCGTAATGGCTATGGCGCTGGAATCCCACATAGTCAACCGCGGTCCACGTCCCGGACCTGGTGGCTTAAAACTCACGCCGGGCGCGTGTACATGCGTGCCCAAGATCCCGAGAGGAGAATGGAGGAGAAGGGATTGCGGCGTGACCATCCCCCCTGGGGGGTGATTTCTTGCTTTCTGTCTCTATGTCTCTCTCTGTCTGTCTGGCGAGCGTACACGCCCTATAGCGAAAATCTCTCCAAAAAAGAAAATGGCATTAGCCCCCTAGCCTCCTGTCATACAGTGACACATTGTCTCCAAAGGATACAGGGAAAGCCAAATGTTTCCCATCTGATAATCACTCTAAAAGACACTGAGGAGTACTTCTATATTCAGAAGTCAGTGTACTGACCCTAAAAACTGGGATAAATGCCATTAAAACTTCAAATACGATATTGTGCCCATCTCTAGCCACTTAAAAGTAGCATCACATATGGACAGAAAACCTGAGCTGCTGTGAAGAAACCAGTCATTGGCAAGCTTGATAAAAATTACAGATTTAGAGGCCAGTAGGTGGCATGGTGGTTGGGGCACTGGACTCCCACATGGCCAACAGCAGTTCAAGTCTTTGCTTTTTTACTTTCCTTTTCTCTCTGGTGAGCACACATGCCCTGTAACAAATTAAAATATTAATAATGATAAATAAAATTAAATAATTTTAAAAAATTATAGCTTTGGGGCTGGCCGGTGACATGGTGGTTGAAGGTGCTGGACACCTACATGGCTGAGCATGGTTTGAGTCCTGGACCTAGTAGCTTGCTTTCTCACCCCCCACCCCCACTCTGTCCTTCTCTGGTCAAATTAAAATAAGTAAATAAAGTTAAGTTAAGTAATTCTTTCAGAAAAAAAAAAATTATAGCTTTAATGTGCTCACCTTACAGTCACTGATGCTACCGTGCACCTGGTTGAATTCTCGGTTGAAAGTGTGGGTGAGAAGCTGCAGGCACTAGAGAAGAGAAAGAGAAGTGTAAGTTAAACCTACAATTTCAACGGCTGGCCCAGCACAGCGGCATTAGCAGGAGGGCACTGCTACGCAATACTGAGATTGCACGGGAAGCCTGGTTTGGTCCCTAGCCCAGACTGAACGGTCTAGGAGTGGCTGTACCTTTGGTCCTAGCTAACTACGAGGTCAAAAATACGTCTCTCTTTCCTATGCTCTCCTACTCTCATTAGAAAAAGAAACCTTGGTGGCTAAATGATGCTCTGGCTAAATGATGCAAGGCCGGAAGGGAAATATTTCTAAAATCTACATGGAGCCCAAACAACTTTAGAAACAAAGTACACAGAAAAGTAAGTCTGGGGGACCAGCAGGTGGCATGGTGGATAAGGTGCTGAACACTCCTACACGGCTGACCACGGTATGAGTCCCAGACCTAACCTGGTGGCTTGCTTTCTCATTTCCCCTCTTTCTCTGTCAAATTAAAAAAACAAAAACAAAAACAAAAACAAAAAACATTTAATAAATAATTTTAAAAAAGAAAAGTAAGTCTGGTCTATGTCTAATAAAGATGATGAAATAAGGGAACCAGCAGTTAGTGTAATGGCTATGTCACTGGACTCCCATGTAGTCAACCGCAGTTCACATCCCGGACCCGGTGGCTTAAAACTCCACAGGGTGCATGTGCATGCCCAAGATCCTGAGAGGGACAATGGAGGAGAAGAGATTGC